CAGAGGGCTCAGTAATTCCATTAATTCTCCTTGAGCTTCCTGGATGATTCTGAGACTTAGAATTTGGATTGTATTTTGTGTTTCCTGTTTGGCAGCACCTTATCTGGAAGCTTCTGCTCTCTGTGTAGGGATTTAAGGACTAACTAATGGGAATATCTTCAAAATGAGCCAACTCTGGTGAATTCCCAGAGCGGAAGAAAAAGTACGGGTGGGCAGGTTAATTAACAGGACTTTTCCTGAATGTGGCTGGACCGCTGACCATTGTTAACAGGAGAGAAAAAAATACCTCTGATTTCAGAAAAGCCCCCTGGCTTGTTGTCCTTGGCCCCTCGTGCTGCTTATTTTGTAATTCAGAAGTTTCCTTAAGGAGTATTATTAGCTTGTTTTCAGTACTCACATCAGAATTGTCCACCTGGTCACTTTTTAAAGCATCACTTTGAATTTATTCTTTCACAAACAAAATGAAACAATTCCAAATGGGTCAGAAAGGATACCAAGTGGTGATGAAAAGAGGCCCTATTTTTCTCCCCCCAAAGTAAAAATAGGAGATTTCAGAGAAGTAGAAGAATATCCTAAATTTTCTACATCTCTATGACTTCATAGTCAATGGGGCTCCTTAGATAAGCAAGCATTTTGTATTTGGGAATGTCTGTATTAACCTGATAGCAATGAAAGTTAAATGCAGTTATTTAGCACAAGAGATTACTATTTTGCACTAATTACCTCTGTGACTTCTGGGAGCAAGTTGTTTTTGTTTGTTTGTTTGGTTTTGCCTCATCAAGTCTCAGATTCCCCATCTAGGAGCCAAGCCTGCTTGACTACAGTCCTGATGGCTGTGATGTTAGGACCTAATAATGACTATGAGAAAACACTGTTTTGAGACAAAGTGTTCATTATGTTTCCTAGCTGTGAAGTTTTAGAATAGTTCATATCATGATCTATATGATAATCAGTGTCATCTGAAGACACTTTATAGACATTTCTTCATACAAATTTTTAAGTGAAAAGAGGAGTGCAGAGGAGGAAACCTGGGTTATTCACCTAGACAAGCTTTTCAGTGATTAAGTGGCAGAGCTGGGATTCAAATCCACATCTGTATGATTCTGACACCTGTGCCCTCTTGGTCATTTCATACCTGCTGAATGCAAATCTCAGCAGGGAAGTGGCCCTTAGTTTTCATATTAGAAAATGTTGTAGAACTCCCTCACCGCAGCTCTGAAGCTTAGTGTCCTCGGCTGGGAGTTTGTGAAGCAGATCCTAAGACACGGAAGTGCTTCTAGTTGTGTATTTGGGAGGTGACCCCAAGAAGCAGTGCAGAGGTGTGAGAGGATGAGACCAGGAAGGGAAGGAATTCAACAGAAGGTGGGTTGATCATCAAGTCACCCTGTGGGCAACCAGGGGTCAGTCTCTCAGGGAACTCTAGAGGACAGTGCAGAAAATCTCAGAATGCCCCAGCAGGGGCAAGAGAGCAGTCCTGGGGCAGGGTTGCCCCTGCAGGGGTGGTAAATTCCAGATGGACTCCTGTCGCCAGAGGAAGTGCTCCACCAGGAAGAGCAGGGCTTGAGTTCAGAGGTGACAGCATCTGCATGTACGCTGTGTGGGTCATGGTGGGCTGCTTGTTTTCCATCATCCCCTGAACGACTTACTGCACAGTCAGTGGCTGCAAACCACACACAGTTACTATTTCAGAGATTCTGGGGCAGGACCTGGAAGTTGGCTGACCCATGGCAAATTTTAAAAAAAAATCGCGTAGCCTGTGGGTGGCAGAACTGGGACCACACCCACTCCTCTGTGCCACCCCGTGTGCTCCTGCCTGTCGCTCTGCCTCTGCTTTAAGAGACCTGTGGCTTTGCTGCCCTACCCTGACTCCGCAGCCTCCCAGTGTCTGCAGCGGGCTCCAGCAGCCCAGCAAGTGCCCACATAGGCGGGAGGCCCGTCCAGCACCCCGCCTCTCCACAGCTCTGTCCAGAGTCGCCTTTGCCCTAGTTAGACTGAAGGGTGCGAGTGATTTGGGAATCAAGTCGCCGGCTTC